TGTCCAAGATCCTGAAATGCGCCGGGAATGAAGACATCATCACCCTGCGAGCAGAAGACAACGCGGACACGCTGGCTCTGGTGTTTGAAGCACCGAGTGAGTGTTGGTTTTGTTACCGTGATGTTTTTAGGGAGCCTTAATCGACCTGAAAGGGCCGGGGGGGGGAGGAGAAAAATACAATAAATACTTAAAACAATGGAAGGAGTCACCTGATACTTCAGCTTTTTAAACACTCTTAGTCAACTTAGCCAAGGCTTTCTTTTTAAGGCTTTTCTTTAAGACTTGAGGCTACATCCAGGTGCCCTGGGTAGGTTGCTGCTCTCTCACAGCCCACAAGAAGCTGGGTCACTTTCAGATTTCTAGCTCTAATTAAACAAGGCAGGTCTTATTATAATAATTGAGATGGTTTTAGCTGGGGGGGGTGAGGGGAAGGGGCAGAACTGACATACAGGAGGATAAATTCTCAGAAGCCTTTGGTCAGACTGTGCTTTGTTCCTTTAGATCAGGAAAAGGTTTCTGATTATGAGATGAAGCTGATGGACCTCGATGTGGAGCAGCTTGGAATTCCAGTGAGTAGTGGCTGGAGTGTTGCATTCTCTTAGAAATGGGTGTTTCCCCCTGTTCACATCAGCTTTGGAGTTTAAGCTTGTAACATACAGAATCACCTTGGTTGGAAAAGATCTTTAAGATCATGGAATCCACCCAGAACTGCCCAGTCCCCACCAATCCATGTCCCTCAGCACCATCTCCATGGCTTTGAAACCCCTCCAGGGATGAGGACTCCACCACTGCCCTGGGCAACCTGGGCTTTATAACTCCTTAGGTGAAGAAATTCTTCCTAACTTCCAATTTAAACCTCCCCTGGTGCAACTTGACGCAATTACCTTTTGTCCCATCACTTGTAATGTCATGGAACAGCCTGATCCCCACCTCTTTACAACCTCCTTCAAGGCAGATGGAGGGAGTTGAGCACATGGAAGGAGGCAAAAGTCACATCTGTTGATGTGAAATACTCACCTGAATAGGTTGCCCAGAGAGGTGGGAGATGCCCCACCCCTGGAAACATTCCAGGTAGGGTTGGATGGGACTCTGAGTAACCTGAAGATCTCACTGCAGGGGGACCAGATGACCTTTAAAGTTCCCTTCCCACCCAAACCAGAGCAGCACCTCCCTTTGGGTAGACTAGACAAGCTCCAGAGTAGTGACTGTTCCAGGTAGAGGTGTGAGTGTGACCTTCCTCTGCAGGAGCAGGAGTACAGCTGTGTGGTGAAGATGCCCTCAGCTGAGTTTGCCCGGATCTGCAGGGATCTCAGCCACATCGGCGACGCCGTCGTCATCTCCTGCGCCAAAGATGGGGTGAAGTTCTCAGCCAATGGAGAGCTGGGCAATGGAAACATCAAGCTGTCACAGACCAGCAACGTGGATAAAGAGGAGGAAGCTGTAAGTTCATGGTTACTGTGATGTCCTCAGTGTTGAGGTTTCTATACTGTGACGACTACTCTGAGCTCCTCGGGGCTGAAGCTGGGTGATTGGGTTGTGGAGCTCTGCTTTATAGATGAGAGTCAGGAAATTGTTGCCAGCTTTAGGTCCTAGCAGTGCTCAGCAGAACAGTCTGCTGCTCAAGGTGCCTGAAGTCTTGGAGTCTTGAGGGCACTGGTTGCATTTGTTGAGGTCTAACCTGGTTTTCTAGGTCACAATAGAGATGAACGAGCCTGTCCAGCTGACCTTTGCTCTGAGGTACCTGAACTTTTTTACCAAAGCCACTCCCCTGTCACCTACAGTAACACTCAGCATGTCTGCAGATGTTCCTCTTGGTAAGTAGACACAGCTCTCCTTTAAAAATACCCCTGTAGAATTCTGCCACCCTAGAGCTGCATGGAGAATTTGCCACTGAATGGCTTTTCTGAAGAGCCTTCTGAATGTTCTTTCTTTTCCAGTTGTGGAGTACAAGATTGCTGATATGGGACACTTAAAGTACTACCTGGCTCCAAAGATTGAAGATCAACAAGAAGGCTCTTAATTGGAGTAGGACTGATGGGTTGGGGGGGGAGACCTGGTCAACTCTTGGGAGATTGACTGACTGGCAGTAGGAAATTGGTGGTTTAGCAATTCCAGTGTGTGGAACATGGTCTGAGCACTGGGGTGTAGATATCTCTGTAAATATTTTTCAACTTTCTGCTCTGCTGATGCCTTTGTGGGGTTTTTTTCTAGTCTATCCCTGTACTCCCAGTCATCTCTTAGGTGCTGAGGGTGAAATATCCTACTCCTCTCAACTTGAGTTAGAGAAGGGGTGAAATATTTAACTTTTCTGAATAAAGATGTTGCCTCGTTTCCCCTGTGGAGCTGTAGTTGACTGTAGGGTTCCTGTTCAGTTATGCCACGAGTTTGTATTTGACCTTCCTTTTTTATGCTCATATTCTAACTGAAACTTGGAAAATGGAAATAAATACTATAATTTCATGGGGTTTATCCTGTCTAAATGTGGATGGATGCTTTGCCAGCTATGCTTATGTACCCTAGATCCTTTTTTAAAGGAACTGCAACACCTTGGGCTTTTGTTTTTGCTCTGGGGTGACTAGTTCCTGCTTTGATGGTTTAGAAGTGTTGATATGGAGGGGTGTGGCTACAGGGTGAAGAGCTAAAAGCTCTGTGATGCTGTTTCCTCAAAGCAGGAGGTTTGTGAAACAGGTTTTGCTTCATGTGGGTTTGCTTCAGTGGATGCCAGAGCTGCCTCTGGGCTGTCACTGTCACTGCTCTTGGGGCTGCCTGAGAGCCTGGCTTATGGAATGCCAAGGTTGAAGGGACCTGAGGGACCTGAGGGTCATCTGCCTACTCTAGTTGATATGAGAAGGCTCAGCATCCTGTCAAGCTGAGACCTCAAACTGTCCCATGTGGGGGAATCCACCACTTCCCTTGGGAGATTATTCCAATGTTTGAGTGTTGGTGACAAATGTACCTCTTGTGTCCCCTTGCAATGTCACCAGGGGCAACTTGTGCCCATCACCCCTTGCCATTTCCAAGTGACTCCTTGTAAATAGGGAGTCTCCATCTTCTTGGGAGCCATCTGTAGGCACAGGCTGGGTGACAGAAAGGTCTTGGAGCTGGGTGAACCCTCCGTGGTTGTGATGGTGGTGTCAAGCTCCTCACCAGGCCTGTGCATGCTGCATTCTCTGGGTGCCTTTGTCCCACACCTCACCTTGCTGGGACACCAGCAATTCCTCTCATAATGGAGGATATTTGTGATCATGTGTCTATTGTTGATGGAGATAAAAAGGTTTACAGCCTGTTTCACCCTCAAAGTTTGATTGAAAACTAGGAGTTGAAAACAGCTTCAGGCAGCTGTGGAGTTTTTTCTTTGCTGCCTGTTGCTGCAGGTAAATCCTTACCCTCCCTTTGTCACAAGTGAAGGGACACTGAGGCAGTTCAGCTGGCTTGGTCAGAGCTTCAGGGTGCTGTGGGTAGCTCATTAAGGAGGCTGTGGACTCCCCACTAGCCAGAAACACAAGAGTATCTTGAGCATAAACTGCCTGTAAACGTGAAGCTGGAAAACCCAAGTGATTCAGAACGTCGCGAGGTGGCAGTGCTGCTCCAGGAACAGATTCTGCAGTGTCAGAATGATGAGGCTGCCACGTGGTGGGAACTCTGCTCTGAGCTGGGGGACAGGATTTCTTGACACCCCTTCAGTTCTCCTCACTAGCAGCACTTTACTAGTGGAGCTGGTTTGAACTGGTTTTGTTGTGCTGTGGTGCAGGCAGCTCCGTGCTTGGTTTCCAGCTCCCACATTGAGCTTTGCTTCATGTCTCCAGAACAAAACCATTTATTCTCTTGAACCTGATGTGCTGATTAATCCAATGCCTTTAAAGAAACCTCTTGAAGCCAGACCTTTACCTGCCCTAAAATTTTCCATCATTTTCTGGATCCTTGCCCAGAAGAAAAGCAGTGGGTACCTCAGTTAACCAGGAGGATTTTCCACTCCAAATGTGATGTTTCTCAGGTTGGGTCACCACGGTGGTACCTGCAGATCCAGCCAGTCGATCCACCCTGCAGGAAAGAATCAATTCACCACGTCGAAAAAGGGAAGGATCCTGATTTTCAGTGATGTGCATAAAACTGGAGCCCATTCTGGTGCACCCCCTGCTGCCGTGGGGTTAACCAACCTTACCTGGACTCTTCTGCTCATCAACACCTTGTAAAAAAAAACAAGCCAAATGCTCCAATTAGTTCTTTTCACAGCAGTAATGACCAATTGATGAGCATTGTGTTGTAAGAAACGTCCACCATCAGTACCTGGGCACTGGTGTTTTAATGTGATTTGTGGATAAATCTGTAAAGAAGCTGAGTTTTTACTTGGCTGTTGCCATTCCCAAGTACCCAAACTTCAGATGGGGAAAAATAGAAACGAAAAATATTAAAAAAAAAAAAAGACACAACAAAATACAAACAAAATCCAGGAGGCTCAGTAAGTGCTGAGTGTGTTTCCCAGTGTTTGAGGTTTTTGGAATTTCTATTTTTAGACTTCCTCACCAAGAAGAAATAAAGGGGGAGGCAGAATTCCTTGAAACTTGAGGAGATGAGGCTTTCCAGGCTCTGAATCCAGGGAGTGTTCCATTAACTTGGAGGAGCCAGAGCTGGGGGTGGTTCCTGCAGCTCCTCAGGAGCAGCTGGAGGAAGCAGATCCCCAGCAGAACCTCAGCTGGTGGGCTCAGCTGGTTCCAGGTGTTGGACATGAAATGCTGTGTTGTTTTTTTAACGTAGTGTTGGGCTTTTTTATATCTACCCTAGTGTTAGGAATACAATGGTTTGTTTCTGCCATAATGAAAAGAACTTAATTAAACTTTGTGATGGCTGAAGAGAGAAGTGAGATATCTGGGCATCCCAAGGACATTCCTGGAGTGGGTTGTGGTCCAAGAAACTGAGGGACTGAATTGGGCTCCATCTGGGGAATCTGGACATGGAGCAGGATTTATGGCCCAGGATCAGACAAAAAGTCACTTCTATCTT